GGAAATGAACAAAGTCTGTAGGACTGAAAGCAAAAGAAACTGTACATAAGCACTGTTATTTAGGTGGTAAAGTTGTGGTCCACAAGATACAGGTTAACAATTCTGAATTTACTGTACATGCACATGGGAACTGAACAATTAAGTGAGTAAATAGCAGACAACTGGAACAGGCTTCTCCCTGTTGAAAAGGGAGTTTACAGATAAGCAAAAAGAGAAAGTTAGAACAATCTACGTGTTAACAGATTAGAGACACTAGTATAAACTCATATTTAGCTTAATATAGAAACAAATGTTTACATTATCTGTATTATATTTGTATATATACTGTAGACTGTAGATACCTACACATACAACAGGTTAGTGTATACACATATATGTCCCTTCTCTGTCAGATGAGAAAGACTAGAAGCAATTATGCAGCTATTCTGCACTTATGTAGCTATTCCACATCTTAATTGTGGACTTCTTTCCAAAGAGCGCAGGGTGGAAAGGGGGAAAAGGAATAACTTTATAGTGGAGAAACCTAGCAAGGTTTCAAAAGTAGTAAGTCCTGCTGATAGTGTGATATGACATGATAAAAAATGGCACTTTACCTCTGTGGTTTTCCTCCCCAAAGCCCCAAATCCTAGCCTAATCATGAGAAAAACACAAGCCAAGATGCTCCTAAGGACATAAAACAACTAAACGTATTATGGTATCCTGGATGGGATCATGACAATTAGGTAAAAAGTAAGAAAATCCAAATAAGTTTTGGATTTTATGTAATAAAAATGTATCAATACTGGTTCATTAATAAATAATGACTGCATAAAATTATTATAATGTCTGGTAAGATTATATGTGTGTGTGTGTGTATAATATTAAAATAAATGACAATAGCAGCATATTGGTTGGGAAGTTAGCAAATGCATTATCCAGGGGTAGAAAAGTATATAATTGTCTACGGTGTGTATTATTTATCCAGTAATAATAACAAAATTTTATGATGTTGAAATGCTTATAATTTTCTATTTGAAAAAACCATCTGCTAAAAACTATATTTTTTATAAGTAAGACTAATACAGCCTCTGTAAGCTAGGTCAGTACATGATCTTGGAAGTCCAAGCACTTAATCTTGCTTTATTATTTCTTTAAAAAATTTTTTAACATTTATTGATTTGAGAGAGATAGAGGAAGGCAGAGAGAGTGTGTGTAACTCACTGATTTATTGTTGTTCCACTTATCTATGCATTCATTGGTTGATTCTCGTATGTTCCCTGACCAGGGATCAAACCTGCAACCTTGATATATCAGAACAATGCTCTAATCAACTGAGCTACCCAATCAGGGCTTTGATTTGGTATTTCTTTATGTTTACAAAATACAAGATGCATTGCAAAAACAATCTTTCCTTTAAAAAAACTCTTTAGGTTTCCAGCTCTACTTCTGAATTTATAAATTTTAATTTATAAACAATTTTTAGGGAAAGTAGAGTGCACTTGTGTACTGTTCCTCTCAAGAACAGAATGGAAATCTTAAATTCTCAACTGCAACATGGTTGCAATATCATATCACTGGTTAAATAACAGCAGTTAAATGAAGTAAGACATTGAAGTGAGACTTTTTTTAACATTTCATAGAACACTGGGATTTGTGTTTTTCTTTCCCAGGGGTTAAAGATTGAATGTAATATTTCAATCATACCTGAAAGAACATAAGTTGATATTTCACAGCTATTTAATCCATTCATTCAAAAACAGTAATTCAAATGTTCAAATATTTATGCTTTGTAGGCAAATTTCAATGCAAAACAGTCACCTTCAAGACAAATTATAATAAAACTTTATAATTTAAGACAAAAAGAGAATTTTTTAAGCAATAAGAGAAAAATACTTTTGCATACAAAAGAACTCCCATAGGATATCAGTGAAATTTTTATAGGAATATTGTAAAGCCAGGAGAGAGTAGACTCATATATTCAAAGAGCTGAAAGAGAAAAAAAACTGCCAACCAAGAGTATTTTACCCTGCAAAGTTGTCCAGAAATGAAGGCAATATAAAGACTTTCCCAAATAAACAAAAGCTGAGGGAGTTTATCACCCGTATATCTGCTGCACAAGAAATGCTGAAAGGAGTTCTTCAACTTGAAATTAAAGGATGCTAACTGGAAAAATTAAAACATAGGAAAATATACAATACACATTGGTAAAGGTAAGTATATAGCCAGATTCGGAATACTCTAATAATATAATATAGTGGTGTGATCCACTTAACTCTATTATAAGGGATATGAACAAAAGTATTGAAACAGCTGTAGCTACAATAATTTTTAATGAATATACAGTAAGTAAAAGGCATAAATTGTAACAACCAAAACATAAAATAGAGAGTAGAGTCTTTGTATGTGATCAAAGTTAAGTTGTTATCAGCTTAAAATAGACTATTGTTTTATAAGATGTTTCAAGTAAGCCATGGAATAACCACAGGACAATAACAAAAACACTATAGTAGATACACCAAAACCAAAAAACAAAAAGGAATCGAAGTCCACCACTATATCATTATGGGAAACCATCAGTTCATAAAGGAAGATAGCAAGAGAGGAATAAAGGAACAAATGATGTATAAAACAGCCAAAAAATAATTAGTAAGATGGCAATAGTAAGTCCTTACCTATCAATAATTACTTTAAATGTAAATGGATTACATTTCCCATTCAAAAGGCACAAAGTGGCTGACTGAATTAAAAAAAATAAAAATACCCAACTATACACTGTCTCCAAGACATTTACACTGCCTGGGAGAATACACACAGGCCCAAATTGAAGAGATGGAAATATATATTCCAGGCAAAGGGGAAACAAAAGTAAAGAGAAAACAGGGGTAGCTACATTCATATGAGACAAAATGGACTTTAAGTAAAAATACTGTAATAAGAGAAAAAGAAGGTCATTATATAATGATAAAGGGTTCAATTCATCAAGAAGAAATAACAGTTATAAATATACAAGCACCCAACATCAGAGCACATAATACACAAAGCAAATGCTAACAGATCTGAAAGAAGTCTTGGAAAACACTACAGTAACAGTAGGGGACTTCAATACCTCACTTTTGTCAATGGATAGATCATCTAGACAGAAAAATCAATAATGAAACATTGAATTTAAACTATGCTTTAGGCCAAATGGAAATAACAAATATAGAACATTCAGAACATTCCATCTAATGGCAGAACATTCCATCTGAATGTTCAGAACATTCAGAACATTCCATCTAATGGCAGCAGAATGTACATTATTCCCAGGTGCACATGGAACATTCTTAAGGATAGATCATACATTAGACCACAAAACAAGTCTTTGAAAATTTCAAGACTGAAATCATATGCGGTATCTTTTCTGACCACAACAGTACAAACCTGTAAATAAATAAGAGGCAAAAATGTGGAAATTTTACATAGATGTGGAAATTAAATAACACATCCCTGAAAACCAATGGGTCAAAAATGAAATCAAAAGGAAATTTAAAAAAATCTTGAAAAAACTGAAAGTGAAAACACAACATACCTAAACCTATGAAGTTTGGCCAAAACAGTTGTAAGAGGCAAATTATAGCAATAAACACCTACATTAAGAAAAACAGTCTCACCCATATAGAATCTAAAAGACAACACACAGGCTCTGATTCCAGTGGTTGCCAGATGCAGGGGGTGAAGGATAGGTGAAATGGTTGAAGGTTAAAGTACAAACCTACAGTTATAAAATAAATGTCAGAGGAAGTAATATACAGCCTAGTGACTGCAGTTAACAAGACTATATTGTATGTTTAAAGTTGCTGAAAAATATATCTTAAAAGATCAACACAAGAAAAAAATTTGTAACTATACATAGTGATAAGTGTTAACCAGACTTATGGAGATTATTTCACAATATGTACAAATATTTAATTATTACACTGTATACCTAAAACTAATATAATGTTAGGTTAATTATACCTCAATTTAAAATTAAATTAAATTTTAAAATAAGTGTTTAATAAGTGAATTTAATTAACAAATGTTCAATGTAAGAGTTGGGAAGATATTTCTAACTAAACCTGGTTTTTAAAATCCATAAAAAAATAAATACATTTTAATATAGTAACTTAAGTACACTGTTACATGGCAAAATATGCTATAAACAAATCAATGTAAATTATTAAAAAGAAAAAGATATTTTAATATAGGCAGAAGATAAAAGGTAATATCTGTATTTTACAGAGAATTTCCTCAAACTGAAAAACAAAAAAGTTACAATTAAAGAGTGAGCAAAGAATTTAATTAATAATTTTTTAAAAAATACAAATGAGATTATGCTCAAATGTACTGGTAGTATATAGGAATAAAATTTAAGTAACACTAGACAATCGCGGTTGGATTCCCAGTCAGGGCATATACCTGGGTTGCAGGCTGGTTCCCTGCAGGCCAGTTCCCAGCAGGGGATGCACAAGAAGCAACCGTACATTGATATTTCTCTCCCTCTCTCCTTCCCTTCCCTTCCCTTCTAAAGATAAATAAATTAAATTTAAAAAAGACATTTGTATAAAAAATTTTATGTTCTTATAACAAAACATGTATGTAGGTATATTATAAATTCTAAAAATAAAGAGCTTTAAATTTCTAAACGGGCTTCACTTAAACGAATGTTTTCAAAATATTTAAGTATTCACAATGTGCTGTTTTTTGCAAATGCTTACACACACAGCAACTACTAAGAATACAATAAAACAAAGCATTAGCGTTACTGACAATTTATACTGATTCAGACTGAGATTTCAATCTGAAGAATAAGTCAATAAATCTTGTCAACAACACTCACTAAATACCATAAAAATGATTAGCATTATTAAAAAATAACCTTAAAATTGACATTGGAGAATCTTAAACCAAACACTGTGAGGAAGGCGAAAATAGACAACTTTAAATAGGAGCTCACCTCTTTCAAATGTTCTAAATCTGCTTCTCGTTCACCTGTTCCCTCTGAGGAAATCAGACCCGGAGGTAGGCTGGGGCTGAAGGCCATGAGGTCCGTCTTGGGCGGCCCCTCCCCAGAGCACACCCTCTGCCTCCTCTGCTGCGAGTACGACCAGCTCCCCACTGCGCTCGAGCACACCAGCACCCGCTTCCCCTGCGCGCACGCGCCCTCGCTGGGCGGGGCCGAGCACCGCAGCGCCGTGTACAGCAGCAGCGTCAGCACCAACAGGCTGGACACTGCGCAGATGGCGACGATCAGGTACACGTTCACGTCCACCAGGGCGGTCTCTGGCTCCGTGGCCTCGATGACATCCGCGAAGATGTCTTCGGTGCCTGGCCGCTGTCCACCAGAGACAGCAGCACAGTGGCCGTGGCCACCTGCGCAGGCTCCCCGTGGTCCTTCACCAGCACCAACAAGCGCTGGAGAGGTTCGTCCGCCTCGTCCAGGACACGCGTCGTGCTGATCTCGCCCGTGTACAGCCCCACGCGGAATGGGCTGCGCGCACCACCCGCCGCCGCCTGCAGCTCATAAGACAGCCACGCGTTGTAGCCAGAGTCCGCGTCCACCGCGCGCACCTTCGCCACCACGTGGCCCGCGCCCACAGACCGAGACACCAGCTGGCTCACAGCGCCGCCCCCGCTGCCCGCCCCGGGAGGCAGCAGCGCGGGCGCGTTGTCGTTCTCGTCCAGCACGAACACCTGCAGTGTCACGTTGCTGCCCAGAGGCGGCACGCCCGCGTCGCGCGCGCTCACCTGCAACTGCAGCAGCTCCAGCTCCTCGTGGTCCAGAGGCTGCAGCGCGAACACCTTGCCGCTCTCCGCGTGCACGGACACGTAGCTCGACAGCGCACGCTCGCCCACCCGCCTCTCCACCAGCGAGTAGGACACCAGCGCGTTCTCCTGCGCGTCCAAGTCCCGCGCGGACACCGTGAAGATGTGGCAGCCGGGTGGGTTGTTCTCCTTGACGAACACCGTGTACTCGGGCTGCGCGAACGTGGGCGCGTTGTCGTTCACGTCGGCTACTTCCACGGACACGCTGGCTGTGGCCGACAGCGGAGGCGAGCCCCCGTCCCGCGCGGTAACCACAACTGCATAGTTCGCCACGCTCTCGCGGTCCAGGGCGCTGTCCAGCACCAGAGAATAGTAATTCTTGAAGGTGGACACCAGCTTGAAGGGAACGTGCGGTGCTACTGAGCACGTCACCTGCCCGTTAGCGCCAGAATCGTGGTCGGACACGCTGATCAAGGCAATGAGAGTGCCCACCTTAGCATCCTCTAGCACAGGGAGTGACAGAGAAGTGATGGTAACTTCTGGGGCGTTATCATTTATGTCTAGTATTTCCACCAAAAGGGTACAATGACCGGCCATTGGAATATTCCCCTGGTCAATTGCCTCTATGGGTATTTCATAAAACTTCTTTTCTTCAAAATCCAGTTTACCTTTTGTCTTAATTTCTCCACTGTTGGGATTTATAATGAATGCATTCAACACCGCAGGCGATACGGGCCTTCTAAATGAGTAGATTATGTCTCCATTTATACCATCATCAGGATCTGTGGCATTTAGCTGGAACACTAATGTTCCATTAAATGCGTTCTCTACAACTCTCACCTTGTAAATGAATTTGTCAAATTGTGGGGCGTTGTCATTTACATCCAGAATTGTGATCAGCAGCTGAACTGTGCCAGTCAGCTGGGGTTTACCTCCATCACTGGCGGTCAGTAATAACCTATGCTCCTGAATTTCCTCTCTGTCCAAGGATTTCTTCAACACAAGTGATAACGAAGACGTTTGCTCAGGATTGTTTTGTGTGTCCAAAGCGAAATAATCGTTGGGATCGATTCGGTAGGTCAAAGCTGAGTTTACTCCAATATCTGCATCGGATGCGCCATCTAGTGGAAACCGAGTTTCCGGGGGTCTAGATTCTGCAATGATTAGTACTTTCTTATTTTCAGGGAACACAGGCGGGTTGTCATTAATGTCCTTCACCTCCACCTCCACATGGAAAACCTGCAGCGGCCGCTCCACCACCACCTCCAGGTGCAGGCTGCACTCCGCGCTCCGCCCGCACAGCTCCTCGCGGTCAATCCGAGAATTCACAAACAAAATGCCATTCTGCAGATTTACCTCCAGCAGGTCCCCGCGGCCTCCGGACGCCAAGCGGAACAGGCGGGGCACCAGCTCCGTCAGCTCCAGCCCCAGGTCCTGCGCGATGCGGCCCACGAAGGTGCCGTGTTTGGCCTCCTCGGGGACCGAGTAGTGGACCTGGCCGCTCCCCACCTTCCAGACCGCGAGGAGCAGAAGCGAGATCAGCAGACGTCGGGCTTCCGGGGCTCCTCGCCAGGAAAACAGCATGGTGCACTCAAAAGACCTCAGAGATACCTTAAGTGTATAGAATAGCACACCTCAAATGAACTCTCAAGATCCAGTTTTACAGCCTTCTGTTGTGGGAGGATTCGCTAGAGGTTTTCTACCCTATGCCAAATTTTCAGCAGGAAGGAAGCAGAGGAAATTTCTTCGGGGAAACGATCTCGGTGAAGAGCGACACCATGCGCATGAATGTGTAAGTGTAAAATGACTCCGTTTTCACGCTTTCCATTTATATAGGGGTTTTTTTTCTTGCATTTCGTGACAATTTTCACTGCAGATATGTAATCGAGGATCCAATGTTTTTCTTCCAGAAACAGTAAATTACTAAACTCTACTTAGCGTTGAGTGTTAGTTGAAATTTGGTCGATGGGTTTTCTTTTTCCACAGGTATATTTTCGCATGTGTGAAACTTCCGTGCAGAATTTTAAGAGGGGGAACACTCTACATTCGCTTTTGGAAATCAGCCTCTACTTCTGTGAAGCTTTGAAGGTTTTGATGAGGATGTCCTTTTCCTGTAATATTTTTTGAGATCTGCTCATACAACCACCATCAACTCCAAATGGAAGCATGACCAATTACATAATAAAACAGATGAACATGAAAAATAATGGTGAGCAATAAACCAGGCTTTAAGTAAGTATGTCATGTTTATAAATTCCCATAAATATATCATGAAATGTATATTTGTATTTGAACTAAGTGTCTAAAGTATGGGGGTTTAAATGGGAGTGTGTGTTTATAAACACAGTAATATAGACCATTTAGCCATAGCAATGCTTTAAAGTTCTAGATTCTCTTTGTATAAAACATGCAAAGAATGAGCATGCCAAGAACTATGTGCTTAATAGAATTTAAATTACTATTAATAGGTTAAACTTCCCTCTTCCTTTCCCAATCTTACACCATCACTGGGGAATATCTTACTATTATTTAAATTGATTGACTGATTTTCCAAGCAACAACTGATTGACATAGATGTTAACACAAGGAAGAGAGGAAAGGGACTCTTACTTTTATCTATTGTTATTACTATCTTTACCAGGCTCCAAAGTTCCAGACCAAATAGTACCATGAAAGACATAGACTAGCTCCCGTAATTCTCTGATCTGTTCTGTGCACAACTCTGCAAGAAATAATAGTTGAGTTCACTTCTGTATCTTTGCTCTACTCTAAAAATATGGGTAAAGTATTTGGTATTCTCTTCCCTTCATCATCCTCTCCTGCTCCATTACTTTTATTGACATAGCTTTATTCTTATAATGGGAATAATCCCTTGATTCTTTCTAATTGTTCTTGTTTATTAGGCCCTACCTTGTCTCACTTATCTTTCCACCTAACCTGGACTACCAAGTCAACCATTTAAAGCACGCCCTTCCAGGCACTCGCCCACTTATACTGTTACACTTCTAACACTTTCTTTAGTTTCTAACACACAACCTAACTATCCATTTTCTCCATTCTTCCTATTGAGCTTCTCAGTATAAGATGGGCACTTAACCGTGATGACAATATTCTCCACAGGTTTACTCTCACTTTTACCTCAATACAGCCCTCGGATGAAAAAAATGATTACTTATTCCCTCATGTTTACAGAGGTCCTTTCATATTCTTCTCCCTCCCACTCAAATTCCCAGCCTCATTCTCACCAGCTTTTTCTCAGATGATTTACCCTAAGAGGGGAATTCTATTCATCACTCTATTCATCAACATAAACTCAACAGCTCTCTTCTCATATCAACATTTTTTGTAGTCTCTATTTTCATTCCCTACTAAAGAAAAATGTCCCCCACTTTTCAGGCCAACCATCCACTCTTTTAAAATTATTTTATATTTTATTTTCCTTCAGGTTTTTTAACTTAATCTTCATCTTTTTCTGCCTATCTCATGCTCAGAATCTTCTTTACTTGATTCTTTCTCTCACACTCAAATGTCTTTAACTAATACATATAAATATGCATATATGTATACTTTTGGGGAAAAAAGGCCTGTTCTTTTATCTCCTCTTTACCTCTAACTTCTAACATTTACTTGATACATTGCACTTTGAGTTTTATTTCAAACATCAACCATCTTATTATAATTTTAAACCTACTATAATAGATTCAGTGATGACCCTCTGAAAGATATACCCACATCTTAATCCCTGGAACCTGTGAATATTTCTTTATATAGCTCCTCCTCCCAAAACATGATTAGATTAAGGATCTTGAAAGGAGGCACTGACCCTAGATTATACAGGTGGACCCTAAAGTATAGCCACATGTATCCTTTTCAAACAAACATATGGAGGAAAAGAATAAAAGGCAATCCGACCACAGAGGCAGAGACCGGAGTGGTGTGGCCACAAGCCAAAAAACTCCGACATCTATCAGAAGCTATAGGGGACAACAGATGCCCCCTTTGAACTCCAGACCAAGTATGGCCCTGCCGACACTTTGATTTTGAATCTCTGGCCTCCCCAAACTGTGAGGAAACAAGTTTTTGTTGCCTTAAGCCCCCCAGTTTTTGGTAATTTGCTACAGCAGCTCCAAGAACATGCTTACCCATCTAAATTCTTTACTTGAATGCATTGCTTTTTGTTTTTCTTTTTTAAAATTGATTGATTGATTTTAGAGAGAGAAAGGAAGGGGAAGAGAAATTGATTTCTTGTTCCACTTATCTAGACCTTCATTGGTTGCTTCTTGTATGTGCCCTGAGCAGGGGCTGAACCCACAACCTTAGTGTATTGGGACAATGCTCTAACTAACTGAGCTACCAGGACAGAGCTACTTCTCACTTTTCCATCTCTCTTTGGTGATTTTGTTTCTTCATGGATGTATTTTTTCCCTAAGAGAATGATTCACAAGTGCACATCTGTAATCTCCCAATTTCCAGATCCATATTTCCAGTCGCAACACTACTCCCCTAGAACCTCAAGGGTAATTGTTTTTTAAATGTTCCTCTCCATTCCCTGGCTTCACAAACAACACAACCTGTTTCTCCAACTCTATTCTGCATCTTGGTGAAGGCAATCTCATCCACCCAAGTGACCAAACGAAAAAAGTTAGCGTCATCTACTTTTGTATTTTTTATTATCATTGTATTGAGTCGGTCATTATCTGGCTGCTTCTCCTTTACCCATTGCCTCTTCCACTTGTTTCCCTTAATCCATTTCAACTGTCATAATTTAAGTCTTCATTACTGGATACCTACAGTATTATAAAATATTCTTTATTAGCTTTCCTTCTTTCAGAATCTTCCCTGCTCCAATCCTTCAAGTACACATTCACTAGAGCAAAGAGCAAATTATGCTCATTCATTCATACTTATCTCTCTGTCTCTACCACCTTCCTGTTAAAATGTTGGCCATCCACCAGGCACTCTTCGATAAAACATTGCCTAATCTCTGGAGCCCATCCCGTCTTCTACAAGGGAGGGAATCACCCAAGCAGTTTATTTAATACCATATATTCATTTCAAAAGTACTGATTGAACATGTTATATTCCATGGCCTACACAAATATATGTGAGAGAGTAGTAAGCAAAAGGCAGGAGAGCTTGATGTCTTCACTACCAGGGTGAGGGGTTTAAGGCTTACTCTCTAGTCGAAGAGAGTCCCTGGATATTTTTGTGGAAGAAAGTTGCAACATGTAAAATGCACTTAGAACACTCACTTGATAATAGTCTCAGAGAAAGAATATGTCATAGTGGCTTTCGACCCTCCAAAACAGGGTTTGAGCCACTTCGAACTGTCTATGTGGCTTAATATTTGGGTTTCTGATCAGAAAAATGACCATGCTAAATATTCTACTGGTATATTAGGGCTGATTTGATAATTAAGTGAGATGATTTGATCATTAAATTTGATAATCCAATTAAATACTTAACACAGGTCCTGGAAAATAATAAGAGCTCAGTAAGTATTCTAAGACTTTATTGACTAAAAATGTCATTAATTGTAAGGTGCATCATTACTTATGTGCCACCAAAGAAGTAAAGCAGCTAGGTAAATTATTATAAATCATCAATTATAAGACACATCCTGATTTTGGTGATTATAACATGTTAAATATTAAATGACTTTATTATATTTTATGTAAATATAGTATAGTAGTCAATTCTTCTTGAAAGAAAAAAGGCACTTTGTGTGAACAATAACAAAAATAGTTCATGTTAGAATTAATGACATATAATTATTATTGATATAAAATGTGGAAGGGCATTGTTCTGAGATGCGAATGGTAATCAAGGAGGCTATTTTACAAGCCTGTGCACATTAAAAATAAAAACAGTAAAATAATCCAGTTGGTGATATCTGGAAACTCCTTGTATTCATCTTCCAAATTTTCTGTATTCATGAAACTGAGCTCAAATTGAAAATAAATTTAAGAGTTAGCAAACACTTAGTTTTATTGTAGGGAACTAACATTTTCAAGATCCAATCATTCATAGAGGATAGGAAAAATGATAAAACTATTAATAGAAATGTTCATGGTGTGGTGATCAATGGCCTCCAGCTCATCTATATACTTTATTCGTCAAGACGTGAAAAATTGGGCAGATACGTGAAAGGTCAAGTGACTAAGAATGATGATGCCACAAAAGTGGAGACATTGACAGTTTAAAGGATAGCATGGGGGGGAGGAAAAAAGAATGTATGTATACCCTAAGAGAAAGTTCTTCAGAAGAAACAAATACATATCAATAACTTACTTCACTAGAATAATTTAAACAATCCTTTACCAACTGTGGAAGACTGGGGCTGGAGGCCATGAGGTCCGTCTTGGGCGGCCCCTCCTCAGAGCACACCCTCTGCCTCCTCTGCTGCGAGTACGACCAGCTCCCCACTGCGCTCGAGCACACCAGCACCCGCTTCCCCTGCGCGCACGCGCCCTCGCTGGGCGGGGCCGAGCACCGCAGCGCGGTGTACAGCAGCAGCGTCAGCACCAACAGGCTGGACACTGCGCAGATGGCGACGATCAGGTACACGTTCACATCCACCAGCG